CCAGGCTGCCTCTCTCAGACCACCTCTCCCTCAGGAGATCAGCAGGCCCATCCCCTCCCAGCCCTGCTGGCCGACCCCCACCCCATCCCCACGTCCCTCAAGAGTACCCACCTGATGTCCCGGAGCCCAGGAAGAAGGCTCAACCTGGAGGGCCTGCACCAGCTGGGGCCTTCGCACGATGCCCACCAGGATCTGGGACTCTGACAGGTGGAGAGGGAGAGGGAGGGAGGCGCGTTACAAAGAAACAGGCCTGAGGGCAAAGCTTCTGGAAGCCCCCATGCTCCTACCCCAGCAGCTGCCCAGGGGCTGCCTTACAAGCGCCCAGCCCTCTCTCTTTTGACAAGTCAATCACCCCAAGGGAGGAAGGCGGTGATCTCCATTTTACTGATGAGGAAACTGAGGCTCAGGCAAAGTGACTTGCCCAAGGTCACACGGTTGCTTGCTAAGCCACAGAGCCTGGATGCAGATCCTGTCTGCCTCGCAGGTCCAAGCAGGGGGCAGAGGGCATCACACCCTCCCCCCACCCCCACCGACTTCCTCCTCCCTTCTGGCTGGCACCTGTGCTCTCCACCAGGGGATACTCGGCTACGTCTGTGGAGGTCACGACCTTGACCACCTCCTCTAGTGGCATGTCCTTGGCCAGCATGGTGATTCTGCGGTTCATGAAGTGCTCCACCCTCACGCAGTGGGAGCTGTGGGCAGAGGGCCTCCCATCAGGTCCCAGAGTCAAGGATGTCAGACCCAGGCCGGGCAGGGGGATGTGGTGGGAGCTTTGCTGGAACCAGAGACCCACGGCTCTGGAGTGTGGGCAGGGCTGGAGAGGTTCCTGGAATGAGGGACGCCTAGAACCTATTGTGGTAACCTGGGGACCACGTCCCTGATGGCCCAGGTCCGAATCCCCAGTCCCCTGGGTCCGTCCCCCTGTCCCCCAGACCAGCTCCACTTGGGTCTGTTTTACCCAGTTGCCTTCTCTGGAGAATTCCATTTGATTAAAAAGTGTATGTTGCCCCCAAGGAAAAACCTCAAAGTTTGAAAACCACTGGGATAAACAGCCCCATTTTACAGATGGGGAAACAGGTTCAGAGCAAGGCAGCAGCTTGCGTGTGCTTGGATCCTGGCCTCAGACCCAGGGACTCTCAGAGTCTCTTCGGTCTGCTTCTCTGGCGCCAGAAGCCGCTCTGGTACTGTCTGGTTGAGTGAAGACCTCAAAGCCCATTTCTATCCTCGTTCTACCTCCCGCTCCCAAAGTCCCAGCGAGGACTCAGGAGTGGGGAGAGGGGCGGAGAACTCTGGAATCTGATGCTGAGTCTCCACGTCACCTGGAGCAGGACACGGCCCCTCTCTGAGCCCCGGCTTCCTCACCCTGCACACAGAACAATATTCATGCTCCTGCTGTGAGGACCGGCTGACCGCTAGACAGACACTGAGGCCTAAAGGCCAAGGCCTTGCCCAAGATCACCCGGGGCACTGGGGAAGTGGAGACCGGAGCACAGCTGGTGTCACCCCTCCCAGCCCCCATGTCCAAGGTCAGTTGCGGTGGCGTTTTTTGGAGGTGCCCTCCACCCCCAGCCAAGCCCAAACACTGTGACCCCCTTCAGCCAGCCTGAGGTGGGCGCTGCTCACCCAATGTCGCGGCCGAGGATCCGTGGCAGGTATGGCAGCTTCTTAATGAGGATGGTGCCTTCATAGAGGGAGGGCTGGCAGCTCTGTGCAATGGCGTTGGCTGCCAGCACCGCCATCAGCACGGGCAGCGCATGCACTATCTGGCCAGTCAGCTCGAAGGCCAGCAGGGCCGTGGAGATGGTGTGGGTCACAGCCCCTGAGAAGGCCGCAGCCCCTGCAGGGGCAGAGTCAGGCAGCGTGGCTCAGGCCAGGAGTCAGGGGGCCAGCGGTCAGGAGCCGGCCTCATGTGAAGGCATAACTAGCCTGGCTGCGGCCAGGGACTAAGGTAGCATTTGTAAGAGGCCACAGTCTGGGCACTGTGGGAAGTGCCCCAAGGCCCAGGCTTAGTGAGAAGAGAGGTATAAGGGAGGGCACAGAGCTGGTGACGGGACAGAAGCCATGAGGGAGCGACGGAGCTCAGGGAATGGTGGGGCTCAGGAGGGACAAGCCCCCACAATGCAGGGCTCGGTGGCTGCTCTGGCCCTGGGGAACCACTGGCCGATTCTCCAGGTCCAGTCCAGCCCCATGACATTGCCCACCCAGCAGGGCTCTGACCCACTCACCTGCCAGGGCATACCCTCCGGGCATGATGGGATTGGTGATCCCTCCAGTCACGATGCCCTCAGGGAAGGTGACAGCAAGAGCCTCTCCCAAGAGGCGCCCGATGGCAGCTCCTGGCCACAGACTTAGGGTGAGGGGGAGCCAGGCTGACCCAGCCCCCATAGCCCTCCATCCCTAAGGACCATCCTCAGTACCACCCCAGAAGAGGGTGAACCAGGAACCATGGCCCTGCCCCAAGAACCCCGAAACTCTCAGAACCTCAGGGCCCCAGACTCACCAAAGACGAAGACGGGCATGAAGTACCCAGCAGGCATGGGGATGGTGGTGGCCAGAATCAGCATCCAGAACTGTGAGAGGGGGAGCCCAGGGCAGAGGCTAGAGGCTGCTGGGCGAGGTGTGGATAAGGGAGGACAGGACAGGGGACAGGGGCCCATCCTAGAGAGAAAGAGGGTGCCTGGCCATGCGCCTATTGTCAGAGTCTGGCATTAGAGGAGGGTCCTCACCCTAAGAAATGCCCACTGTGTGCCTGGCACTGTGCCAGGTACGTTCCTTTTTCCCTCCTCAGCCTTCCCAGTAACCACCCCATTTTAAAGATGGGAAGACTGAGGCCCAGAGAGCTGAAGCCACTTGCCCTGGACCATGTGGGGAGCAGGGAGCACATCATGAAGTATGGGTAGGAGGCCTGGGCTCCATGCCACCAACTGCGAGAAGGCACCCTCCTCCCACCAAAGCTGGCCCTGTCTCTGTGTACACCTGGGGTCCGGGGGGCCCACCTTCATAACCAGGAAGAAGGCAAGGGTCCCAAAGATGGTGAACCTCGAGTGGTACCATTCCCACCACAGGTGCTGGGGGTCGAGCTCCTCAGGCCAGGGTGGGCTGGAGTTCCGGGTCATCAGCACCCAGGAGTGGTTGTCGAACAGGGAGTCCAGATGCTGTTGCATGGACAGCTGGGGCGGGGCAGGTGGGAAATGGACGTGAGGGGCCTGAGTGGCAGACCCCAGCCACCGGGCACCACCTGACCCCGCCTGGAATCCTCCTCTGCCACTACCCAGCGGGGGACCTTGGGCAGAGCTCTGAAAACCGTCCCCACCCCCACACCCAGCTACGGTCTCCTTATCTGTAAAACGATGCCCAGGCGTTGCCCTTGTGGGGTACTGAGGGGATTACGTGAGATACATGCAAAGGGGAAAACAAATGGGGGTCCCC